TATTTTGGACACACTGAATGGGAACGAATATAGTTTGGACATGCTGAAGTTCTTTCAACCTATGAGCCTAAAATTAATTACGACGGTCACTTCTTCCTATCTCGCATTTGTTAGATCCGTCTAGGTGGGAAAATTTTCAAAGAAGGTGCCGTAAAACGGGGTGAAACTGATCAGCGGGGTGAATTTGATCGCTGAGTATACCCTGAGTACTGAGTATATGTACTTATGCATAATATTTTTACAATGTATACAAATATACATTCGTACGCTTAGTAACGAAAAACATGTTACACATGAAAAAATATCACGAGAAATTACAGCGATCAATTACACCCCGTTTTACGGTATGCATAAAAGTTAACCCCTCGTTACTCGCGCTGTTGTACTTTGTACAACACATATGAGTTTTCCATTGCCATTTTGTTGCTGCCAATCGATCTGAAACCAACTTGTATTCCTCAAAAAACTTGTTTTGAACTAAAAAAGCTAAACTTTGATTACAATTAACCCCCAAAATGCGGATAATAGAGAAAATTTAAATGGAAACCGCCTAAACGGTGTCCATACTACGTGGGATTGACTTAATTGGTTACAACATGGAATATCTCGAGATCCTGACCAGATAGAAAGTTACTGTCTTCGGCAAAGTTGTTCAGGAGGTCAAAGCCTATTTCTTAGTGTACAATAGTTCAGAATTATCTCACTTCGTGGTGCTGGTATACATGTGAAATTCTCGTGTATAAAATATCTCTAGATCCTGACCAGATAGAAAGTAAATGAGTGTAGTTCAGAAATTTCACACTACGAGGCGCTAGTATATACGTGTAATTCTCGCATATACAATAGCTCGAGTTCTTGACCAGCTAGAAAGTTACTGTATTGGGCAAACTTGTTCAGGGGGTCAAGACTTTTCGACTGGTAGACAGTAGTTCAGAATTTTCTCACCACGTGGCGTTTGTATACATATACACTTCTCGCATATGATATATCTCGAGATCCTGACCAAATAGAAAGTTACTGTCTTTGAAAAAGCTGTTCAGGAGGTCAAAGCCTATTGCTTGGTGTAGAATAGTTCAGAATTTTCTCACTATGTAGTTTTAGTATACACGTTAAATTCTCTCATATAAAATATCTAGAGAGCATGACAAGATAGAATGTTACTGTCTTGGGCAAAGTTGTTCAGGGGATCAAGGCCTTTTGGCTAGTGGACGGTAGTTCAGAATATTTCACTTCATGGTACTAGTATATACGTGCAATTCTAACATATGATATATCTCAAGACCTGCTAAAAATGTACTGTAATCGGCAAAGTTGTCCAGGAGATCAAACCCTATCGTTGGTGGAAAGTACATAATTTTCTCACTAGGTGACGTTGAAAGACACGTGAAATCCTTGCATATAAAATATCTCTAAATGACCCGCATACTAGTGCCACGTAAAGGGAAAATTCTGAATTACTGTACACCAACGAAAAGATCCTAACATCCTGAACAACTTTGCCGAAGACAGTAACTTTCTGTCTGGTCAGGATCTAGAGATATTTTATATGCGAGAATTCCTCATGTATACTAGCGTTGCAAAGTGATAAAACTCTGAACTTAAGTCCACCAGCAAAAAGGCCTTGACTTCCTGAACAACTTTGCCGGAGACAGTAACTTTTTATATGATCAGGATTTCGAGATATTTTATATGAGAATTTCACGTATATACTAGCACCATGTAGTGAAAAAACTCTGAGCTATAGGCTTTGAACTCCTGAATAACTTTTTCGAAGACAGTAACTTTCTATCTGGTCAGGATTTCGAGATATATCACATGCGAGAACTTCACATGTATACTAGCGCTATGTAGTGAGTAAATTTTGAACTACTGTCCACCAGCAAAAAGGTTATGATCTCTAGAACTACTTTGGCAAAGACAGTAACTTTCTATCTGGTCAAGATCTCGATATATTCCATGTTGTAATCAATTAAGTCAAATCCCACGTAGTATGGTCACAGTTTTCGCGGTTTCCATTTACTTTTTCTCTATTAAAGGGTGTCCACGATGAAATTGCCACACACAAAATTGATTCGCAAAATTCGAGTTTTCATCCGATTGCCATCAAATTTTCAGGGATTGAGAAATAACTATTAAACTTCATTTTGCCATTTTACTCGTATTTTATTTACAGTCCATACGCAAATGCCCGCACCTTGGCCTTAACCCCGGCCATAAGATTCTGCACAACCTGTGAATCAACCGTTTTTTGCATGTAAACCCATACTTTCTTCAGTTCCTCGACTGTCTTCACTACCTTAGGTCGTTTAAGAAGGTGCTGCTTCATAATCGCCCAGTACTTCTCGATGGGGCGGAGCTCCGGAGGGTTGAACATTTTCGGCACGAAATTGACCTTATTGTCCGCATACCACTTCAGCACGTCCTTGGAGTAGTGGCATGAGGCCAAATCCGGCCAGAAGATTGTTGGGACGTTGTGGGCCTTCAGGAGAGGAAGCAGCCGCTTCTGGAGGCACTCTTTTATGTACACTTGTCCGTTCATCGTGTCCTGGGTCACGAAAGGTGCACTCCGCTTCCCGCACGTGCAGATGGCTTGCCAAACCAGGAATTTCTTCGCAAATTTGGACATCTTCTGAGTGCGGACATGCTCCGGAACGCTGAACTTATCCTTGGCCGTGAAAAACAGGTTGCCGGGGATCTGTTTGAAGTCGGCCTTCACATATGTTTCGTCGTCCATGATGCAGCATTCAACTTTCGTCAGCATGTTGAGGTACAACTTCCTGGCACGGGTTTTGGCGGACTTGTTCTGCTTCTCGTCGCGATTAGGGGCCTTTTGTACCTTGAACGTTCGAAGCCCAGCCTTAGTTTTGGCCTTCTGGACAAAACTTCGGCTTAGGTGCAGCTTCTTAGCCACATCCCTAACGGAGGCGTTCGGATTTCGGTTGAAGGCCGCCCCAACTACGCGGTTGTGATTTTTGGTGTTGTACGGAATACTTTTTCCTTCACTTCTGGGCTTCCGATTGGTGGTCAACCGTTCCTCGAACCGCTTAATCACTCGCGACACCGTGGAATTCGTGATTCCCAACGTTTTAGCGGTGGAACGATGCGAGAGATCCTTGTTCTCGTGATGAATGCGCAAGATTTTATCACGCACGAGCTGTTCTTTCGACTCCATTTCCGCGAGTTTTGATCACAGGACTTTAAAACTTGCAGGATGTAAATAATGCACTATAAACTAAATCCACCCAAATTTTCATTAAATTCTACCCAACGGTTAAAAAGTTAGAGCAATTTCATAGTGTGGCAATTTCATCGTGGACACCCTTTAGTTTATGAACAGCCCCTTAGTTAAATGCGTTTGGGAGATAGGAAAACTTTTGTGGAAAACTAGGAACTAGGAAAACTAGGAAAACTCAGAGTGGACCACTCTACGTGTTTTGCCGTTTTTCCCATTTTGAATCGCCTGATAAACAAGAAATATATTTAAAAACAATGAATTCATATAATTTTAATTGATTTACTTACCAATTTAATCAGAAATCTGAGATAATAGCACGATCGACCAACCGGATTTTTTTTTGTCGCTCTTTGGATGATTCTCATTTGATAAGTGTCCAAAATAAGTTGGTAACATTTTTTTACGATCTTATTTGGACACTTTTTATTTAATACTTCTTAAGTAAAATCTTAAGGTGAAATCTTTATAAACACGTGAAATACATCTTCCAAAGTCAGATAAACTGATTTGATAAAAAAAAAATCATTGAATTGTATATTTTAGACCAAATTTAAAACAAGTTCACTAACGCCGATTCCTCTTGACAAACGTCGAAACATGAAACTTTTTCGATAACATTTTCTAAAACTGCATAAATTGAGCAATTGTAAGCAATTTGAGGTGAACTAATGATCTTGAGACATAGCAAGTAATTGAAAGAATGTAATTACAACATCAACCCAGATGAATTTGAAGAAACTAGACAGTAAGCGAGGAAAATATATGAAAAGGGTCCAAAATATGTAGGGGTCCAATTCAAGTTGGTTACCCTATAGTGCCGAGGTGAGTGAAAGGAACTTACCTTTGGGTACTTTTTTCTAATATATAAATATCAAGGAATTCTATTTTGGGCCTGGAAAAACAGTGAATTTCTTTAAAAATCAAGGAAATATTTTTTTATTACTCTTTGATAACTGATTAAACAGTACGGCGTATCTGGCTAGTCTCATAAAATTTAATTTCTCGGTATAGTTTGAGGATGATTGTAAATCTATCAAATCTTAAATAAAGTGGCAAGTTTTAGGTTGCTGTTTTATGTAGTATTGAGCCGGCGCCGATTGTGTAGCGTGACTGCTTTCTCACCCCAATGGGTCTAGGTTCAATCCCTGCCGAGGTCGATGAGATTTTTCTGAGGCATAACATCTCTGGTCACGTTTTCCTTCGGAAGGGAAGTAAAGCCGTTGGTGTGGAAGCTGCCTTCCTGCACATTCGATTGCCGTCAATGGATGGCAATCGATGTGCGTCGATTATTGGCACTAGATTGCGGACCAGAGACCGACGTTGAATACGGACGAGACAAAATGATCCCAACATTAATCAGTCCTCAACATTATCCAGTGTCCATAAGACCGAAACGGTATGAATAATAAGGAATCTTATAAAATTTCAAATCCCTACAATATTTAAAACTGCTCGAAAGGTTATCACGCCTGTTGCAAAGCCACTCCCACGAACTGTTACTACTCCGATCCTGTTGCGGTTCTGGTTCTTAGAAAATACACATTCATTCAATCAGGCTGTCATTCACCCGTTTTCATTCATCTTCACACAAACAAACAGGACGGTCGAATCGAATGCGTACGGTGACAGTAGTTCGTTTATCGGAATTGCGGGCATCGCATATGTACATTGTGTGAGAGCGAGCGAGGAAGCTTGCTATTGCTGGTGCTTCTTGTAGCACACCACTACCAACGGAAAGGAGCTTTTGACAGATATGGCATCAGCAGCGAAGTAGTGAAAAGAAGACCCCAAAAACAATCTCCCCTCGATTCCTTTTATCCGGCTCCATCCAGCCAGAGAAAAAAGACGTACACGTAGACAAATAGGAGGTATCCATCGGTATCGTTGGCAAAGTTGCAGCTTATCTCGCAGAAGTGGTGAAAAGAATCTGTTTTGTTTCGAAGATACAAAAAGGTCACAGGAAAAGTGGTGCTCCCCTGCGTGTGTGATTTGACGGCTGTAGCGGAATGCGAGTCACCAACATCCGCCGGGGTCGAATCGCCCGAATCGGCATCACCGTTGTGATATTGGTATTCATTCTGTACATGATCGCAACCTGGTCCGGAGTGGATCATCGAACGGTGAAAGATGCGTACAATTCAAGTTTCGCTGCCCGGCTGTCCGGAAACGGTGACCACCGGGTTCAACAGGATCACCGGAACGTGTTCCCGGTGCTGATTGAAGGTAGGTGGGGTTGTAGGGCGAAGAGGCAATCTGGTTTTAATGGCGTTGCTTAGTCTTCCGTGCGGGCTCCATGTTTCAGTGTGGGCAATTTTTTTTTTGATTGTGTGCAAATCGTCAGAAGCCTCCAAAGAAGACGAGTCGCCCGCTATCTGTGTCATAATGGAGCTAGTTTATTACACTCTTTTCTTCTGCCAAACGATTGGGTAACTTTCTGGTTTTGAATGGGGAACTTGCACACGCAGTTGGTAGACGCCCGGTGTGAATAAGAGCGAGGCAAATGGGTTGTTTGTTCACTTGAAAGCGGCGTTTTTGCGTGCTTCGGTTTATATTGGTTTATCTAGGCGTTTAGGATTTAATAAGGAAAGCTAATCTGGAACGAATTGTTTTAACATTTGCCATTTCTAAATTCCAGGGCTCGGCAACTTTGAGCCAAAGGAAGTGGACCGTCGCGATGGCCCGGGTGAAGGCGGAAAAGCCTACATCCTGCCGGAGGATCAGCAGAATCGTGCCTCCGATGCGGAAATGGAGTACGGCATGAACATTGTCGTGTCGGACACGATTTCACTGGATCGAACCATTCGGGACACCCGGTTGGAGGAGTGTAAGCACTGGGACTACCCGCATGATCTTCCCACTACCAGTGTGATTATTGTGTTCCACAACGAAGGCTTCTCGGTGCTGATGCGGACAGTACAATCGGTGCTGAACCGGTCACCGAAGCACGTGCTGCATGAGATCCTTCTGGTGGACGATTACTCCGATAAGGAGGATTTGAAGAAAAAGTTGGAGAACTACATCGAGCGGTTCGATGGCAAGGTGAAGTTGATACGCAATCCGGAGCGCGAGGGATTGATTCGAACTAGGTCCCGTGGGGCGAAGGAAGCGACCGGGGATGTGATTGTCTACTTGGATGCTCACTGTGAAGTGAATACGAACTGGTTGCCTCCGCTGCTGGCGCCCATCTACAGGGATAGGACGGTAATGACGGTTCCGGTAATTGACGGGATCGACCACAAAACGTTCGAGTATCGACCGGTCTACGCGGATGGACACCATTACAGGTAGGTGATGGAATATTTGCAAATATTATATAGATATTTTCGTTTTTTTTTTGTTTGGGCTTTTATCAAATAACTAACATTGTGTGGGTATGAATGATCAAAGGACAATCGAGCATTAGTAAAATTGTTGCTACGATTGGACCGAAATAACCGGGAATAATCAATGAACCACTCAAATTATAAGTTGTAGGGTCAATTGCCCTAATGTCGGCCTAAGTGCCTCCAATATTGGGCCCATACAATTTCAACTTTATCAACCAATGTGATACTTTTTCAAATAGTTATTAACCTATTAAAACTCTATTTTTTCATAATTATGTATCTTGGATTCTGCTCAGAACTATCAGAACTCACAATAACAATATCCTTATAAATTTTCTCGTATCTTGAAATCCTCTTAAATTCTCCTAATGTAATATTTCCTGAGAATTCAATTTCCTTTGAAAATTTTCTCAGTTTGAATCAAAACACCCAACATGACCCCTGCTGAGTCTATTCCTTTGCAATTGTCCTCAGAATACCATTTATTTATTTGTCTGTATCAACAGAGGCTGAGTATAGTCCCAATGATGATTTAAGTAACTTTAACTGATTTTTGACTTTGATTTAACTGCCAGAAAAAAACGCTGAGTAGTATCTTCGTAGCAGCTGTCGAGGTAGATGGAAATCGAAGATGCTCGAGACTCGATTGAACACTCGTTGCAGCCCACCTCTTGCATCGTTCATGCCATAGTTTGTTCGCTGAAGTGGCAATCTCAGCATAACATTGTTACGTAGCGCACGAGGTTGGACTTAACTGTTGACTAGCTCCAAGATTGCACTGCAGTAAATTCTACCTTGTAAAGTGTCCGCGATGAACAGGGCTCTAGATGTATCTCTTCTAGTTCGAAAAGCCTCCAGATCAATCAGCTGGCAAAGGCTTTCATAGCTGGGTAGATGAAATAGGTCTCTCCAAGACAGCTTCCTCCATTGTTGTAGTTTAGACTTCAGACCACAGAACAGTATTCAGAAATGTGATTGGTTCTTTCTTCCGAGTAAAAGTGATCTTTGAACACTTAGTGGGGTTAAACACCATTCTGCTCGACTTACACCAGCTGGCAAAGGCTTCGAACTGACGTTGAAGGAAGTGACAGTCATTAATGGAGCGGATTCGTAGGTAGATTCTAAGATCATCTACATACGATAGTCGTGGGCCTTCGATGACAAAGTTCACGTCATTGAAGTAGAGTAAGAAAATCAAAGGTCCCAGGTGACTTCCTTGAGGTATTCTTGACGTAGCTAGATATGAACCATCGCAGGAGGTTTCCGTTGAGCCAAGTCTATGCAACATGGCAATCGCGATGGCATGGTTTAGCTTATCGAAGCCAGCTGACAAGTCTGTATATATGACGTCTGTTTGAGTCCTCTCTGCCATGCTTTCCGATGATACGATGTCAAACACAGCAGATTTGTGAAAGTAGAACGACCGGAAGTGACGCCGTGTTGATCACCACTTAGATACTGCTTACAGTGAAAGAGCAGAGGCTCCATGATGACTAGCTCGAATAGCTTCGAAACTGCACTCAACGACGTAATTCCACGATAATTGTCCACATCCCGTTTGCTGCCCTTTTTGTGGACAGGAAACATATGTGCGAATTTCCAACAAGATGGAAATGCACCACTCGAATACGGACGGAACGCCATTGGGTCCTGGATTGAAGGATGACTTGAGTTGTGATGCGGCAGTGGAAATCATCTCGACGTTGACATCCATTGCACCCAGTGTTCGACCGTAGAGTGGAACATTACTAGCTTCTAGGGTAACGTGTTCGTCGGTTAATCTCTCATTCGAGAAAACACTGGTGAAAAGTGGCAGTTCTGCTGAGGAGTGGAAGCAAATGCTCCATCCAAGACTATTGAAGAAGGTAGGCCGGATTCCTTGCGCTGTTCATTTGCGTAATTCCGTTTCCTCTGAATCCCTGGTTGATATCGCGAATAGCATCGAATATTGTTTATTATCCAGGTTGGAACCAGTGCGAAACCGAACTTTTTGTCAGTGCGATCCTCAACCTGGGGTAGGTTTGAAAAACAAACGTCGTTTGTCAGAAAACAAGCAGACCCGATCTTGATACCCGATCCAGGTTGGAACTGAAAAATAAACAAATTCGCTATTAGTGAATTTTCTTAATGTGGCTCTCTTGGTCGACTTCAACCTACGCAGTTCACTCGTCAGCCAGGGAGGATGAGAAATTTTACGGTGAACTCTTTTCGGAACGTGGCTGTCAATTACATAAGCCAAGACAACGTTATCATGATCGAGGATGCTCTCCCAGCGGCGCCGGTGGTGTAGTGGTAAGCGTGATTACCTCACACCAGAGCAGGCCTGGGTGCAATCCCAGTCGAGACATAACATCTCCGATGACGCCTTCCTTCGGGAGGGAAGTAAAGCCGTTGGTCCCCGGTTCATGAGTTGATGGGTCGATAGGTAGGGTCCAGATGTGGGAGCTGCCTCCCTGGCGTCGGTAGCATTGGTGCTCAGCACGGAAAACAACACTGGACAACAAAATCATATTTTTGCATTCGGCTTGACTGAAAGTTGGAAGATTCAGGTTTTTTAGTAAAGCTACAGATTTCGTCGTTCATAAAGAGACCAACTTTCTAAATCGAAGCATTTCAGAGTTAATGAAAAAAGTTAAAACATGTTATCTTTATCGATAAGTGATTCTTATGTAAAAAACTCCGCTGAAAAGTGTAAGCATATTTACATTTTTAAGTTTTCAAATTGCGAAAATCACAAAGTTGGCAACACTGGAGAAAAAAATCTGATCATACCATTCGATTGTACGTCCAAAATCCGTACCTGTATGGCGTGCATTAGGAGTTAGGAGTTATATACGGGCTCAAGCAAGCTGCGCGATATGGAACCAGTGGATTGATATGACGTTGAAAGATATGGGATTTCATCGATCATCGGCTGATCCGTGTCTCTATTTGCAAATTGTGGACGGTGTTTTCACGTACATATTGATTTACGATGACGATATCGTTGTGTGTATAACGGAGCAGGAGTATCGGCGATTGGTCGGAGCTTTGAGTTAGCACTTCAAGTTTGCGTTGTTGAATCCACGTTCGACAGGAGGGCCGACATGAACGTTTTGAGTCAGATATCGTATGTGCTGAAGATGTTATCGCAGTTCAACATGGAGAATTGCTAAGTCTCTCGCGTTCCGATGACCAGCGGTTTCGTACAACAAAAGGAAGAGGACAGTGACTCATTGGCAGATGGACAATAATACCAAAGTATGTTGTTGTACATCGCTGTCAATACGCGCCCGGACGTTGCTATCTCGACTGCCATTCTCGGGTGGTGGGTCACCAAACCAACAATAGCGGATTGGAACGAAGCGAAGCGGGTGCTTCCGTACCTGAAAGGTACGACAGACCACGAGGTACATCTGGTTGGTGGTAGCAACCTTCAAGTGGAGTGTTTCATGGACGCTGGCTGGCCTGGGGAAGTCAACAACAGGAAGTCCAACACTGGATATATTTTGAAGTTCGGAGGAGGACTCGATGGCTGGGGAAGCAGCAAGCAGACATGTGTGTTCCTTTCCAGTAATGAAGCGAAGTACATCGCACTTGCAGAATGCTTGAAAGAACTACAGTGGCTGCATCGATTGGGCGACGACTTGGGCGAGCATCTGGTGTTGCCTATTGTGGTGAATGAAGACAACCAAAGCTGCTTCGCTCTTGCCGCGACGGACGGAACCTCACGAAAGTCGAGACGTATCGACACTAAGTACTGTTTCGCCAAGGATTTGGCAGCAGATAATATCGTGTTCATTCGATACTGTTCTACAGAGCAGATGGAAGCAGATATTCTCACTAAGCCTAAGGGGGCAGTGAAGCTGCGCAATTATGAGATTGTGATTCTACCAAATGATGTTGAGGAGGAGTGCTGAAGAGTCGCAGCAAGCAATGGAAATGCAACATCATTCCGTTGCTATGTATTTTCCTTAGTAACCACTACATTATACTGACCTGAAATAAAGATTTTCTTCATTAGTAGTTCAACTACCAACTCGATGTCTTAAGTTATTTATCCCCAATAGTCTATTCCTTACCTAGGCTGTTTCAGAGTTCATATTTTTGCAGCGAGTAAATTTGAGTAACTCATCATCAACATCAACTGTCAGAGTGATCTTTTTCTTAATATTTTATTATATTGATACAAATATTAACAAGTTCAATGTAATTCATCTACAGTGCATTAGCCTGATATATATATATTGTATATATTGTATGTTCAGGATGTGTGACATTAAGATTATCCAATCCAAATTAATCCATCCAAACATCCGTCTAAATTTTTTGTTAGGGTCACTACGGGATATTTTAGCTCGGATTGGATGATTAACCTGGAGAATCGTAGAGTCAAGCGGAACCCTTTGAGTAAGAGTGAACAATAAAAAGAAAACTAGCTAGACAGATAGATAGCTCCAGAGAAGATGCCATCAACAGAGAAATCGATGTCAAAACATCCAGAAAGGTGTGCATAAAGATGGGTCGCTCTACGTTTTAAGTAAATTTGGGGTCTACAATCACGAATTTCGGGTGATTTACCCATAATTAATATCGGCGGATTTTCACATTTCTGGCGATCCTGCCAGGAGACGAACCTGGAGTCTTGGAGACCCCCGATAGGTTATAAACGGCAAATCACCCTTGCAAGGAAAATTGGAAATTTGAACGCGACCGGGACGGCCGTTCTGAGAAAACGAGTAAGGACGGATTTAAAAATAAAAAAAAAAATCATGGTGGCACTACCACAGGATAAGAACGCGACCGGGACGGCCGTTCTGAATGCTAGTGAGGACGGTGTTGCTAAAATCGTCTCCTCGCCGTGGCAAAGCCATATGAGAGAACGTGACCGAGACGGATTTGCAAAAATCGTCTCATCGCAGTGGTAAGGCCACAGAAATAGAACGCGACCATCCGTACGTAGCCGTCAAAGGCACCAC